GAGAGTGGTCAAGCTGGTGTTAGCTGATGGTTAGGGATTCATGCAATGACTGATGAATTCAGACTGCTCTCTATTGGAAAAGGATTTTTATCACCAAAATCACTGTCCCAAGCGCTGCCTTTTGCGGACTCTTAGCTAGGAGGCCAAGGGCAGAAGATTTCAAGAAAACAGGCAATCCTCTCCACCTGGATGTCAGAAGTGAAATGTTTTGGCAGAAGAGAATGCCCCTGAAGAGCCACTGCTTGGGTCAATACCCACAGCATGTCACACCCCCACGCAACTTCATGAGCTTTCCGTAGCTCTCTTGGGAGAAGAAGGACCGGCTTGATCAGTGACAGAGATGCCTTTGGCTGCTGGAGAAACAGGCCATTTTCCAACACAGAGTGTCACAGCGTTGTGACGTGGTGTGCATTGCCCAGTGAGCTCCCAAGTGTGTAAGTACTCACACGTGCCATGGTAAAAATCACAGTCCAATTTGCCTGTACTATATTTCAGTCCCATATAGAGGATGATCTAGCTCAAATGCATTTATCTCTGCAAATAAGCAACATTACTTAATGAAGCGGGGAGGAGAAATGTCAGAGAGGGACCACGCAAAACTTTTCCCAAATATGAAATGGCTTCTGGTAGGCTGTGTCGGCTTTTGCTAAACGCCAGCACAGAAAACAACCAACCAACCAACCAACCAACACATTTCCAAACAAACAAACAAAACATTTCCTTGACCACAATAAAAAGCAATTGTTTCACACACTAAATTCAACACATCCTTTAAAACCGAACAAGGAGGCTAGGCATACAAATGGGGTAAGTGCGAATCACAAGGGAGCGCCTGAAAAAACACACAGCGGAAGACACGTTCAATACAAAGGTCTCTCTGTTGCTTGTTGCAACTCCGCTATCACAGGTCAAAGCCACCATCCTGCAGGGATCCAATCCGAAACCCGACACAATTAATGTCTGACAAGCTCTCGAGAAAGCACCTTTGCCCGGGAGTTAATACCTTGCGTTATGAACAACATGTTTCAGATATATTGCGTCCGTAGCTATAATCAGCTGGCAAACAGAACCAGATCTGTATTACACTGCTACCCTACAGACAAGGCTACAGAAAAGAAACAGCCCCCACCCTGCTGTTGGGAGCCATCAGAGGCGCTTCCTTGCGGGAGTGACCGCCACCAG